AAAAGGAAATATATAAAAAAATCCTGAATTTCCACTAGTGTAACACACGTGACAAATTTTGTCTTAGCATGTCATCATCCCTACTTTATCCATCACCCCTCAAAAATGTATGAAATTAAACATAAAATGCTTTCTATAAAATCATTATTGCTCAAACAGACCATAATTTTTATGACCTTCAATTTTGTTTTGTTACAGAGCTATCAAAGAGAAAATCAGACCCCTCCTACCACATATTCTCTTTCACAATTGGTTGATAGTTCTCTCTTATGTTTCATTATATATTATTTATAACCAATAGATAGTCAAGGTTTTCATCTATCAAATGGCGTTTTGTATAACATTGTGTTCTGAACAGATAACCGTCAATGTCACTTGGAGTAGCAATTTTGTTCTCATGGGAAAGTTAACGACTAGCTTGGATGAATTTGTAACGACTCTTGTCTCATGGTTAGAAAGCCAAGAAAATTTTTAGAAGTAAGTGAATTTGTCTACTTTTTGCATGTTATTACTCTATATTATTTAAGTGAATAAAAATTGCTAAGTGCTTTACCATAATTGCTAAAAAAAAATCAGGCTTAACTCAACTCGACAATCGAGGGCAAGAAAAAAGAAGATTGGATAAGTACTTTATTTCTTATTTTTTCATATTTATTCTTTATTTATTATGATAAAAGTAACTAAAATTAAAAGTAGGGATCTTTTTAAGTTATTTAAGACTAGAATAGGTAAAATAAGTAAAATATAATAATATAATTAAAATTGTTCACGAAGCACGCACACGAGCAGCTTGTGGGTAATGTAATTCGATAGAGTAACGTGAGCTGCACGTTCCCCAAGTGATTTACAACTTATAATGGCACGGATAGCAGTTAGACACAGTTCATAGGGCAATAAAACAATAAAATTTAATTATAAGTAGATGTATAATGTTATGAACTTACAGCTATTTAGGATAAACGAATGTAGTTTCAGGTTACAATTTGAAGTCATATTAGAAAGAAAAGAAGGTTAATTTAGGTTTATTTCGATTTTTTTTGGTGGTTACAAGGTCGATCGAATTGACCGATCCAGTTTTGAGATTACGGTAGAGAAATAACATATAAACTATAAGGTATTAGTGTAAAAAATAAGTTTGTAAATAGACATTAGGTAGGTTTAGGGTAGTTACACAAAGGTAAAG